TATTTGTTTTATGTCTAAAGACATGTCTATAAGTCCGAGAGACCCTCTTGTGGTAGGAAGAGTCGTAGGAGATGTTATTGATCCTTTCATGAGATCGATCTCTCTAAGGGTTACTTATGGCCAAAGAGAGGTGACTAATGGTTTGGATCTAAGGCCTTCTCAAGTCCAAAACAAGCCAAGAGTTGAGATTGGTGGAGAAGACCTCCGGAATTTCTACACTTTGGTTCTTTTTTTCACTTAAACTCTCTTTCTTCTTTAATTTCTTTACTGCTTCATTACTCTTCTTTCATAGATGAAAATTATTTTATTAAATTTTTTAAATAAATATTTGGCATGCTGACCCACAAGGAGCCTCAGTCTAATGACCCCACTCTTTCATTGGACTTATTTCTCATTATATATATTTGGTTTTATATTTAGGTATCCAAATAAAAAAAGTAAAAAGTAAAATTTGGTATGAAGATGAAGCCTTTGATCAAAAAAAAAAAAAAAGCTATAAAAAAGATGAAGCCATTAAAGATAGTTTATCCAGTCCCCATTTAAATTTTCATAGTTTTATAATTTACCACAACTCTCTTCTTTCTTGGCCTCTTATCTAAATCTCAGATTTTGTTTCACCAACATCTTGCATAATTGTTTTTGATTTGGGTAAGAATTTTGGGATTTTTCTTTGCTCCTCCTAATAATTTAATTTGTATTCGTTTGTTTTTTGTTTTTAAATTCTACGATGCTTTAAAAAAGGCATAAATATCTGGTCTTGGGTATGCAAAAATATCAAAGAAATTGACGTCCAATTAAATAAATATATATATTGATTAAATATTTGATCTCTGTAGTGGAATATTTGATGACTGTTTGAATCAGGATATTCAAGCCAGTCGTTTTAGATACTCTGCTATATATAGACATGTAGCTACCACCTTTTTCTAATTTAATATATTACTTTCTCAAACGTCAAAAAGAAAGAAAAACAAAGCTTCTGCTATCTTTTTTTTTATTTGCTATCTTCATTGCTTCTAATATGCATGATTGATATCTTATCTCTTATTCTTCTTAGTCATAATTGTAACGGTTTTAAGTGTTGATGGATTTTATGAAGGTTATGGTGGATCCAGATGTTCCAAGTCCTAGCAACCCTCACCTCCGAGAATATCTGCATTGGTTTGTGCACCAATTCACTTCTCTTCATTTAACTTTTAAGTTATATATAGCATCAGCCATGCTGCTTCAATTAGATAGACATATATGCACTCAATCACACATGTGGGCATTGAATATTGTGTATTTGGAGACTTTGAAATTAGTAGATCACCGTGGCCATCTCTAACCATTACACTAAATTTGGTGTGATTTTTACACCAAATTTAGTATTTTGGTGTCAAAAAAAAAATTTCATCTCCAACCATAATACCAAGTTATACATTAAAAAAATATTTTCTATTATTATATTATTAACTATAAATTTTCTTTATTTTTAATATGATAAATACTAATTATTCTGATAACTG